TCAAAGATATTCTCAAAGAAGGAGAGAAGTTTTGGAAGTAATCATGGAGACTATCCACATTAGGGTGATACATTGGTTGAGAACATTGAAATTGTTTACAATGTTCTTAGTTGATGAGATGATAAGAAGTTGGAAGGAGATTGCAGATTCAGGCTCAATTAAGAAGACCTTAAATTCCTGCTGGACACATCCACCTCATGGGTTTACCAAACTGAACTTTGATGGTAGCAACATGGGCAATCCAGGGCCCTCCGGAGTAGGGGGAGTGATAAGGGATGAAAAAGGGAATTTGTTAGCCATGTATTCTGGTCCACTTGGGGTGGGAGATTCATTGAGGGCTGAGATTCTAGGAGCTCTTCAAGGGTACAAAGTGTCAAGGAAATGAATATTAAAAAGTTGATCATAGAAGGTGATTCTGAAATTGTGGTGAATTGGCTAAAAGAGGACAGTTCTATGCTCTGGAGATACAGCAATGAAAAGAGGAAGTTCAAGTGGCTCACCAAGGACATTGAAATTAATTGCACATGGATAAAGAGAAGTACAAATGCATTGGAAGATGGTCTAGCTAGGCAAGGGGTTAACAGGGGCTGTTTTGTAATTGTTTCATGGTTAGGATGTACTTTGGGTAGTTGGGAGTTAAGATTCTTTAGCTCCTTCCCTTGTAATGCTGATTTTCTCAATCATTAATAAAATTCATTGTTATTGATAAAAAAATGTTATTTTCACCATCCACCCACCCTTCATCTACCTCCTTTGAGCTTCTCTAGTCCACACCATCCCTTTCGTATTGTCCTCCACTCTCTTTTATTGGTTTTGTTATATATCTTGCATTTGGAATTTTGATACCCTTGACAGAAGTTTGAACAACTAGCAACTCTTGGGAAACCCACAATCACCAGTAAACAGGAACTTGTGCAACCTGCAACAAGTTTGAAGAAGTTGGTCCTTGTAAAACTAGCCTAAAATAGGGATGGATCAATGAATTCACAATCATTAATAAAGACCAAGTGGATTAAACATGAAAGTTAGGCTTTCTTGTCTTAGGGCAGGTTGCCTTGGGGTGCCTAACATCTTCCCTGGGACACAAAAATGTTCTCTTACCTAAATCTCATGTTAGCACTTAGCAGACCTCATTGGATTTGTTTATTTTTTAATTTGCATATTCCATGACTAATTGCACCCATATAGTTGGTGGTGATTCCCTTTTCTTCTTTCTTCTTTCCTCTTGAGGATTGAGTTTTCTTTCTATTGCTTTCATTCTCCCTCTGTGGGATGGTGAGATTACTAGTGTACAGCTATAGATGAAGAAAATAATGCCATTATGGTTCCATTGCAATTTCTAATGACTCCCCCAATCCCTGGTTTCCCAACATTTCCCAAGATGCAACAATGAAAGTTCATTTTGATATAGGCATGTGTAAGAGGTGACCAAAGATTATAGAATGAAGCTGATTATGTTATTTTTCTGCTATGGGTATTTAGGTCTTTTTCTTGGTAGGCATATATGTCTTTTTTGATAAGATTATGTTGGTCCTTTTACGTCTTAAGTAAAATTGAATTCTGATGGATCTAGCATGGGAATCCAGGTGATTTAGGAATAGATAGCTTCTTTTGGGATCACAAAGGAGATACACTAGTCATTAGTGGTATTCTCAGGATTGGTAGGTGCTTAACACTTGATCAGAGCCGATATGGCACCTCTCCTTCAACACTTAAGACCAGCAGTTGCTCCATGATATTTGAATTATTTTTATTTTTGATAGATAATGGTAGTTTTATTTATTAAAATTAACAAGCATATACAACTTACAGCTCCCCGCAATGAGGCTCGAGGTGCAGCCTCTAGGCTATATTATAAAGGTTACATCCATGATATTTGAATCTTATTGTGGAAGGGGGCTCAAAGACTGTAATTGGTTGTCTAAATGATGTAACTGCAGGCCTGATGTTGTACGTTAAGACACTTGAATAAAACTTGATACTTGGTTCTCATCAATGAAACATTTTTTTTTCTCCCTGTGTTCTGTCAATCTATAAATACTCTAGTCTCCCTATCTAGGGATGGAGTTAGAAGACAGTCACTACATTGTAAGTTTGGAACATATATCCATTGGGTTAAAGGTGTTATTTCTATACTGTTGGGCTGTTAAAAAATTGTGGGTTGAGTAGCAATAGGTTGCTATATTTTCATTTTTGGGGAAGGCTGAGAGTTTTTCTGCTTGTAATATTATCTCCTGTATTTATTTTTCTAGTATGGAGTCTGGACAGCATCTCTAAATTCCTGTTTAACCAAAGAAAACTTGATCAGGAGAGGCATGGGTTGGATTGATGCAGCATGCTCTCTATGTAATGAAGATGTGGAAAGCACTAATCATTTATTTATCCATTCATTGTAAGCCGGCTGGTTTCCAGTGACAGTGGGTGAGAAAAATTTTTGGGATGTTTGGATGCAATCCTGAGTCAGTGGGGCTTTTATCAGTTGCTGAAATCTTAGAGGTCTTACAAAACAAGGAAAGGTGGTTTGGAAAAATGCTTTGGCAGCTGTTTTCTAGACATTGTGGATAGAAAGAAATTCTCTTCAAAGAGAATTCTGATTCTGAAGATGGTCTGTTAGCTAAACTGAAGGTCAAAGTTATTTCTTGGGTGGGTGTGAATAGGGATTTTTACAAAATTTCCAATGAAGATTTTTTTGATAGAAGTTTTCTTTTTGTAAAGTCTGAATTATAGGGCTGGTTTGATTGTCTTTTCTGTTTGGGGGTGATGGTTGTATATCCTGTGTACAGTCCTTGGTGTACAAGGATCATTTTGATTAATGAATAAAAAAAGACAAACCACTCAACCTACACACATAATACTTGTATGTGCATGCAAGTAAGATGGATGGTGAAGTGGGAGGGTCTTTTGATGTTCTGGTAGAAATCCTTAATTGGGAAAAGATGGTCAACTCAAGCAATGAAGAAAAAAAGGAAGTGGAGAGGTAGAGGAAAACCCACCTCTAGAGGAAGAAGAACCACTTCTAACTCTAAGGGAGGAAGAAGAGGTTGGAAAGGGAATAACTCTTGCCTTTAGCTTCATATTCTCTTGCAAATTTAGAGCAGGAGGAATTGATTGTTGTTTGGAGGGGTGAAGTTTGGATTTCTTGGTTGAGTAGTTAGTTAGTCTCTGAACTGGTATGCTGCGGTAGTCTTACTTTTTTTTTTGGTAATAAATAATTATATATAAAGGAAAAAGTTTTATTAAAACTAAACATAATACAAACAATCAAATTATAAAATAAAAGCATGGTGTTTTTTTGAGAAGGTAAGGTATTATATTGCAAAAGCAAGCAAACCGAATACATCAGCCCATGTACAATCAGAGCCTGTACATTGGGAATATAAACATGGTAGTTTGGTTAAATGTTTTCTGTTCTTTTCCACATAAAGTATAAACTACATGGTTAGAGCAGCAACAAGGGGGCAATCATTAATCTTGCCCCATGAATAGGGAGAAGAGGAGAATAATAGAGGAAGTACATGGTTAGAGCAGAAACAAGGGGCAATTATTAATCCTGTCCTATGAAAGTGGAAAGGAATAGAAGAACTGTGTGGTTATTTGTCAAAATAAAAAAAAAGGATCTACGTGATTAGAGCAGAGACAAGGGGAAATTGTTAATCTTGCCCTATGAATAGGGCAAAGAGGAGAATACAATGAGCTTTTTTGAGCCTGGCCTCTCTGGCAATGCTATGACCACAAATGATATAGAGACAAGCATTTTATCTTAAAGCCCATAACTGACTGTTCTCGTCTCTGGGCTTCTTTTAAAATTTCCATTTCAATCTGTTTGAGTTCAATGATGATTTCTTAGGTGTCATTATGTGTTAATGGTTCTTATATTGGGACAATATCTCTTATTTAAGTTCCAAACAAGTCCTTAACAAAATGTGCTACTTCTTTGAAGAATGTTTACGTTTCTAGGAGGTATATGACATCTTTTCATCTCCTAAGCATTGGTTACTGTCTGTTTGTCTCTACTGTACGAGTTACATCTCAGTTGACATGTCATGATTATGGATCTTTGATTCTATAGTCATTCCCCATTGTTGGTTAATTCAATTTAGGGGATGTTCTGTAATGTGGATGAAAAATTGGTGGGTATGTACTGGTCCACACATCATGCCACTGTGATAGGGACCAATCCACACCAATCCAATGTTTACAGCTGTTCTGGATTGTGGACAAAATGTGTGGACTGAAATTGTTCACACCCATGAGGGTGCTCACTATTGATTTCATACATCTCACATACAACTTGTGGCATAATCTACATAATCAATCATGAATGGAAAATTCTTATATTTTAAGCCCAAAATAAATTGGAATAATAATAAATAATAATGGATAAAATTAAACACCAATATGTAATTACTGATAAATATAAAAAATATATTTGTAATAAAAATAATGTAATAAACAATTTAAAAATAAATGAAAGTAAGCTAAAAAATTAAAAAAAAAAACTACGATGAAGTCTAACACACACACAAAAAAAAATTATATACTAATAGTAATCATGGTGGAGGAAGAGTAGCAGTGAGAAATGGTAAGAGGGTTTCAAATGGTAAAAAAGGGTTTTGAGGCTGGTGCATTGCATTGAATCATCTATCCATTTTGTCCATATCGTGACCAGCCCCAACCACAAGATAATGATGATGACGAGAAAATGCCCTGCACTGTCCCGGTCCACAATATATTGTGGATGGGGACAGTCCACGATGACCTAAATGGCTGTATAATGGTCCCATCCACAAGATATACATGGAACCAAATACTACCTTAGTTGGTCCTAGCTTTTGATCAATGTATGTAGTTGAATTGATTCAATAGATGTTTTGTTCGATTGTCTGACTGAACTGTTTTGAGAAACAGTATCAAACAGTATCTTCAATTCTGCTTCATATTTGGATCATGGTTGGTTAAACTTGTGCTATAATCTTCTCATATGGTTGTATATTTTACAGGTTGGCTGGATTGTCCTTCATATGGTCAGAACATTGGTTACATAATTCCTTCCAAAGTTCCTCTTAGTGAATCTTTCAATGACTCTGTACTTCCTGGTAAAAGATACTCCTTGAGACAAGTGATTCATCAACAAAGAGTACTGGGAAGGGAGGTAAGTACTTTGAAGTTAATGATATTCTCTTTATTTAATTTTTTTTTCACCATTAGCAATCTGACTGCATGTCCTTTTTTGGACTAATCAACATATTTCTTTTTTATAATAATGAGGCCCATTCTTTAAAACCTTTCAATTGTATATCAAATGGTAATGATAGTAGTGAGGCCCATTATGCATTTTACATAATTTTTAAGGGCCTTCATGTGGCTTTCACATTTGGCCTACAATTGTTTTCACAAATCCATGTGAACTGATCCCAATACCATGGGCCTAAAATGTTACTCCAGTAGGTTTAAGTCTGATAATGTCCCTAGGGGTAAAAAGAAAGAGGTGGGAGGAGAAGGAAGGGGGTGACCCATGGAACAGGGTTTACAACCGGAGAAGAAGGCTGTCAGGCTATTCACAGGGAGAAGTGGGAGAGAAGGGAAGGGGAGAGGGAGAAGCAGAAGATGTAGGGGAAAGGATAAAGAAGGACGGGAAGGATTTTGAACAAGAAGGAAAGGAAGGTCAAAGAGATACAAATTTAATTCAAAATGGGGAAGTGGAAATTAATAAATTGATTGAGAGGGAAGTTAGGATAGGAAAATCTCTTGGTCTGTTCTTTTGGGGAGGGGAAGGATTTGTGAAGATGGCCTTTGAGAAGTTTGAACAAAGGAAGAGAGAAGAGAAAAAAAGAAGAGTTTAGAAAAAAAAATAAGGGGTGTGACGGAGAAGGGGGAAGAGAAGGGTCTGGAAGAGATCGAGTTAGGGTCTGAAATTGGGAGGGTAGAGTAGGATGGTGGGGGAGGGGATGAAGGTACTTAGTTGGAAGGTTAGGGGCCTGAGGGAGGGAGGAGGAAGGGATCTGGTAAGAAATTTGATTAGAAGCCACAGACCAAAAGTGGTTCTGTTGGAAGAAAACAAAGTTGGAGTACTTGGATTTACACATAAAGTACGAAATTTGGGGAGAAGGGGACAAGAGTGGGTGGTTCCTAAAGCGGTGGGTCTCTCAGGGGGAGCTGTGATTCTCTGGGATCCAGGTGTTTTCGGGAAAGTAGGGGAGAATCTACAATCTTGTTTCCAGTTTTCTAAGTCAGCAGATTTGATTTGTTAGAGAGTTCCTGGAGTGTTCTAGATTTACAACCTTGTAATGTGGAGTTGTTTTAAGTATGAATTGTTCTTTTTCTGTTTTGGTATGTCAGCTTGACAACCAATTGCTCTGTGCTGTTTCTCCATTTTATTTTTAATGAAAAATTTCCTCTTACCCTTCAAAGAAAAAAAAAACATTACCAACAACCAAATTACCTTCTTGAATGCTTTTGCATGCTATCTCCCATCTAACTAAATAGTCTTTCACCCCTACACCTGGCTCCCACAAGAAATCCCTCATTACTTTCTCGATCTTTTTAGCCTTCTTTTGAGGGATCCTAAAGATTGAAAGATAATAAATTGGTAAATTTTCAAGCGTAGAATTTATTAGTGTGATCCTACCTCCTAATGATATATATTGATATATAATTTCTCTTTGAAATTGCCAACCTCTTTCCACCCCTTAATCGCCTCCTCCCTGTCAGCCTTGGAAATTAATTTGTTAAAGACATCAACTATTAGGGTAAAAAGGAAGGGTGAAAGAGGCCCCCTTTGTGCCAATTCTCTACAAGTCGGAAAGAAATCTTTAACCACCCTATTGACCCAAATAGAAAAGTGACATGATTTTATGCACCCAATAATCCGATTGCACCATCTCTTCCCAAAACCACAAATTATCATTACCTCAATTAGAAAGGTCCAATCCTCTGAGTCATAGGCTTTCTCTAAGCCCTCCTTACACACAAACTTTACTTCTCCATCTCCTCATCTCCTCCAAACATTCATTAGCAATGAGTATTTGGTTGTATCTATCTCTATTGGATGAAAGCCCCTTGATATTGACTGATKATGGAAGGAAGAACCACTTTAATGCTTAGGGAAAGAACCTTGCCAATTATTTTATAGATGCTAATCACTAAACTAATTGGTCTGAAGTCCTTTGGGTGACTAGCTTTAGGCTTCTTAGGGATAAGGGCTAGAAAGGTTTCCCTCCTTACACACAAACTTTACTTCTCCATCTCCTCATCTCCTCCAAACATTCATTAGCAATGAGTATTTGGTTGTATCTATCTCTATTGGATGAAAGCCCCTTGATATTGACTGATGATGGAAGGAAGAACCACTTTAATGCTTAGGGAAAGAACCTTGCCAATTATTTTATAGATGCTAATCACTAAACTAATTGGTCTGAAGTCCTTTGGGTGACTAGCTTTAGGCTTCTTAGGGATAAGGGCTAGAAAGGTTGCATTAACACTTGCCCCTTGGGCTGAGGAAATACTTCTTTGCAAACTCATTGAATACCTCATGCAATTCATCCTAAATAATTTCTCAACAATCTTGAAAAGGCCATTGTGAATCCATTTGGTCTTGGGGATTTAGATTTATCCATTGAGAAGACTATGTTTTTTATTTCCACTTCTTAAAAGTTCCTTCTAGCCATCAAATTGCCTCATCATCCAACAATGGCCATTGAAGCCCTTCCAATATCACTCTATCATTCAAATGTCTCCTATATATGGACTTTAAATGATCCACAAAAATCTTTTTTTTTTTTTGATCAATAACACTTTCATTAATTCATCAATAGAAAATTTACAAGTGGAAGACAAACACACTTATCTTCCAAGAGTCACAAAGAACTTCAAGAAAGGAAAGAAGAAAATACAAAGATACAAGGACACTAACATTACAACTTAGCCCAAAACAAGGAATC